TAGTAGCAGCAGTAGCTGTAAATGACCAGTCTTGTATAAAGTACATCAAAGTGATACTTGCGTGAAAGTACAAGTATCTTATCATTAAAAATACTTTGGTAACAAAGTATTTGTACTTAGTTACTTTAAAACTCTGTAAATAACAGGTTCTTAAACGTTTTCTTTTCAGCTTCCATTAAAAAATAAAGATTAAAAAAAATCGCTGCCTGTCCCTTTAATTACGRTAACTACGCACGGCTTACGTCGTTCCCGGACGTTCAGTGGGGGATACAGGCCCCATAGATTCAACACAACTGCACACATAAGCACTTACTAATAATAACGCTCTGTTTGTATGTCATTTTCATGGAGCATTGCCGCTAACACACATGGACTGTCAAGAGGAAAAGCCAATCATCTATACCATGGAAAACAAGCCGATTGTAACGTGTAAGTGTGGGATATTATTAGCTCCTTTGACAGCTAGCATGGGAGCTACAACCTTTAGCTCTAGCTATGCTACCTATCACCCTTAGCTTAGATTCTGTTTATGTGTGTGACAAATTGTTCTTTTGTTTGTACTTATCTGGTTATAATACGTGCAGAATATCTACTGTGTATGTAAATGTTCTTATGAAATACTTTAATTTTTCCTTAGCTAGCCCGTAGCTGCACTGCTCAACAGGCCGAGCTAACGAGACAACGTCACGTCTAGTTTACTGCAGTTAGGAGCAGATCTCAGCCTGTTTTATCTGCTGTACAGAGACTGTTTCCTCAGTTAGCAGTTCAGACATRAGTCCCTGCATGATGTTTGGAGTCAGGACCAAGTTGCCATTCAGAAATCCCTCAGAGTGATGTGGAAGCTTGTTACAGAGGTTATTTAAGGAGTGGATGCCAGCTGCTGCTCCATTTTTAGCGTATTTTTTCTTATGCACGAGTCCACCGAGGCGCAGAAAACCAAAATATTATGAAATAAAACTATGTGTGGGACAGTTTTACGTTTGATTTTAGAGCACAAATTCAAACACAAACCACACTGCTGGATTTCTGTTTTAACTATTGTTAGAGCAGCTAATGTTTTCTTGTTTCAGTGTGTTTTATTTTAATGACCATGCCTAGAAAAACACAATTTCCTAAATATAATTCAAAGAATCAAAGCAATTTTTAAATAGACTCTAGCAATTTTAATATATGAGAGTACCATGACCTTTTTTATGTTAGTTATAATAAAATAACTGCTCCCTCTGATACACACTAAAACAGGGGTTCTTAACCTTTTTGACCTCGGGGCCTAAATTGTTGAACATAAAGTGACACGAGGCCCAGTCAGACATTACCACTGTATGGATCAAAATGATAATTATTATAAAATGTTCTTCCATCATAACTAAACTAACATAACCGCTGAGTGTATGTGTGTATATATATATATATATATATA